AGAAACTACGAATCCTCCCTAGGGTGCGAAGACTTGGTTCCATGCATAGCATTGCAATCAGCTTTACATGCATAATTTACATTTCTTTGAAGGTTCCAGTTGTAATATGCATTTTCTCAGATGCTAGACTGATTGTATAAGTTACGTTCTTTTGCACAGGGTCATCAAGACTATGAAATGCTTATCTTCTTCTAAGTTTCTTATTAGTTTCTAAGAACTGGTGCTATAACCACATCTATTCTCTGATCGGAATTTCTCAGAAATGACTTCTTTGCAGCATGACGTCTGACCTTTTATTAGAGAAGACATACTCATTTCTGTTTAATATATAGGATTCTCTATAGCATCCATCACCCTAATGTCTATAGTCAATTTCCACCTTGAATGAAGATATAAGATTTCATTCTGATCCCAAATTATTTCCAATCAGCCTTACTTAGATTCACTCTTTGCACTGTTTCCAGTGATTCAGTATCAGTTAGAAAAGTAGCACATACAGTTGCTTTGCTTGCCTTCTCAATATTAACATTAGAGAGTCGTGTCACAGCAATTTGCTCCTATGTTTCACACCCTTGTTAACTAACTAGCTCACTGTGCTAGTTGAGACCAAAGATCAGGCAAGATTCTCACTGTGCTAGTTGAGACCAAAGATTAGGCAAGATTTTCACCCAGACAGCATTACATCCTCATTATAAACAGCTGATCCATATCCAGTGAGTAAAGATAATAAGGCATTGTAACTGCATGTCTGTGGATAGAAAATATCCTAAGAATTAGGCTGAATTTCCAAATTATGGTAGTTTGGGGCTGGACAAAGCCTATCTGCTTCATTGAACTATTATAGAACCAGACTCTGCCTAGACCTTGTGCAGGGACCACAGTTATGGAAGGGAGTTTGTGTGATGATCTGAGGAATCTCTATGTACAATTTACAAATTCTGGTTGATGTTATGAAGTTATTAGGGAATGCCTCTGTGACTGTGGAAACTACCATTTGACCAGCCCTCTAGCACACACCCACCAGGCCAGGGACAATGGAGAGTCGTTAAAACATGAGGACTGCTCAGCATTGAATAATGGGTATGCTAAGGCATTGGAAAACCAGTTCAACCAAGTATCAATGCAGAGGCCTAGTGAAGTGGAGAGAGTGGAAAAATTCCAAACAGGATAGAGAGGCCAAAGTGACAAAACAGCAGGGGTTTAGGAAGGACACAGGGAGAAGTCTTTTAGAGGGACAGGAAGATTTTTGGGCAGGAGGGGGAAAGAGATGGGCATGCTTTTGTAGTGGGGAGTGGTGTGAAAGGAGCCTGGTTTGTCTGCCAGGATCAACCAAATTCAAAGCAAATTGTTCTGGAGAGGGAGAGGGACAAGGCATGCATACATTGCAGGAGGAGGATTCTGGACATCCCCTGCCAGAGATCTCTGACCCCTGACCAAAGAATGCTGCAGAATGGTGAGTAAACTGAGGCAGGGAGATGTGTGTAGGGATCATTATTTTTGTCTAGATCTGTGTATTTCTTATGTTACTAAGTAAAGAAAAATGGCATGTTAGAATCCTTGGCAAAGTCTGTGTGTGTTGTGTTGCACCTGTCTCATGCCCATAGAGGTAAACTGTAAACCCAGAGCATCCACACAGCTGGAGTGCTGGAAGAGGGTGTGACGGGATCCCCCTGGGGTGCAACCTGGGACTGTGGGACTGTTGTGCTCCCTGAATTCTCTCTAGCCTGAGCTCTCTCTCACAATGCCTTGCTTGGGGAGCACAAGTCCAGGCATGTATGGGGGGCATTACTGAGAGTCTCCAGGCAAGGTTGAGCAATTTCCTTGGTGTGGCCTCATGCAGGTGAGTCATTGCATTGTAGCTCCCTTCCTGGACAATGGCTGTTGATGGGTTGATTGACACCCCGCCCAGGTGTTGGTTACTTTCCTTGCTGTTGCCTCTGGGGAGCTAATATCTGGCTGATTCCCCAGCTTACAGCATGTTTTAGTGACCACCATACAACACAATTCTCATAACTTCATATGCATTAATGATACACATATGTGGATAGAGAAATGATTTTCAGCAGATCATAACCTTTCCCCTGATACCTTACAAGGCATGTGTTATATGTGAGATCACGATTATATTAAAATGAGGAATATGGGGGTTACAGCACGCTCCCCCAAGGTATAGAATGTCACAGAGGGTGTGTTTAAACTACAGGGGAGTCCAAGAGGTCAGCACTGGTCCTTGAGGGAAAGCAATTGGACCTTGGGGTTGGAGCACTCTGAAAAGGGTGCTAGACAGACAATCTGCAGCCTGAGTTTATGCCTAGAGACCCCAAGCTAAAGGCAGTGTCTGGGCTGTGTTGAGACTCTGGAGACTTAAAGCACGCGAGATTCAGCATTTGGATCCCTCACAGCAGTGTGGTGAGTGACCAGGCCTTAAAAAGTCCAGTCGGTGGTGCAGCGTGGGCTTGAAGCTAAGGCAGGCTCTCTACCTCTACCTCCGCGCTGCTCCTGGAAGTAGGAGCTGGGGTAGCCCGGGACTTGGAGGCTCCACATTCTGCCCCCACCCTGAGTGTCAGCACCCCAACCCCTGATCCAGCCCAGAGTCCCTCCTGCACCCCAAATCCCTCATCCCTGACCCCACCCCAGAGCCCACAGCCAGAGCCCCCAACCCCTCTTCCCCAGCCCAGAGCCCACACCCCAACCCACTGCCCCAGCCTAGTGAAAGTGAGTGGGGGTGGGGAAGAACGAGCAATGGAGGAAGCGGGGATGGAGCAAGTGGGGGATGGGGTCTCTGAGAAGGGGCGGGGCATGAGGTGGGATGTTCAGTTTTATGTCATTAGAAAGTTGGCAGTCCTAATTTTGACTAATACTGCAGTTATGTCAAAACATGACGTTGCAGCATTCAGTACTCTGAACATGAGAAAATAAGTAAATTTATGATTCCCCATCAGTGGAACCAAGAGTCCTCCTCTGTGCCTTTGAATCCCATGTTGTGGTTAGCAGACTCTACAGTGTAAACTGTAGTATGGTCTCAAACGATGAAGAAATGTTCTCTATGAATTATTTCTTAAACCAGCCTTCTACACAGGTTCGGAATAATACATTTTCCTTTTTATTTGTTCAAAAATAAAAGTTGACTAGACCCAAAGAAATTAAATTCAAAATTGATACCTAATTAAATAGTGAATGGCTTATACTCCTAGTACATGTGGACCCAGACTTTCAAGAATGTATGCATGAGTATAAGTATGTGCATACTTTTGAAGATTTGGGCCATAATCTGAACTTTCCCAAATGAGTCCATTAAAAGAATTTCACTTGACTTCAAGGCTGTCCACTCAAGTTAATGAATGTTTACAAATGTTTTTCCTTTTCTCCAACAACTTTGATCTTGTTAGGTGAGGGTTCTTCAAGCATTTTTAAAAACTTGATGTCTCATGCTTTCTGAATGTTATATTAAATATTCAGTGAAAATTAGTCAGAAAGAGCCTCCAAATCCAGTTTGACATCTTAGATAAATGAAAGCTGAAAAATAGAGAGGCAGTCTAAAATGGAGGAAAAGATGGGAATGCCAAGAATTTAAGTGACCGATTCTTTGTTGTTGTTGCTTGTCATTGTAATCTTAACCATGGAACAATATCTTGAGCAAGGTTGTGAACAAACCTATATATAATATTTTCATTATCTATATTCATGGCATTTGCTTTTGCACATTGCTGCAATATGCACATAGATTTGCTTGTTCAATTAACTGTAACTTTAGCGCCCTCGTGGCCAAGATGGAGTCTGTTCTGCAGGCAGCTCTGGCCAAGAGATGGCGCGTGCAGGAATGCAGCAGGAGAAATCCCTTCCACCGCAGGGGCACCTGTTCCAAACCCTCCAGAGTGAACACACCCACCCACAGGAAAAGTACAGTGGATATAACAAGGGAAATATTTATTTACAGAGGGATGAGAGGAGAAAAACAACAAGGGGAAATATAGGGGGTGCAGTAAGACAGGGCTGCATCCAAGCCAAGGCCCCACAGGCTCAGTGGTAGCGCAGTCTGGAAGGGCAGACACTGAGCAATGTGTCTGCACACAGAGTTCAGGAGCCCTGAACAAAGTTCCGGTCCAGTGGTGAGTCTTGGGTGCTCCTGGTCGTCTTCGGCGCCAGTGAACTTTCCCCCAACAAACCCCTCCGGTGCCCTCTTCTGCCGCTCTCTGCAAAGCCACACAGAGCGACCCCCTCCCCACTTAACTAGCTACAGCCTCCCTCCTTATTCCCAATGCAGAGTCACAAGCCCCAGTACTCACAGCCCCATGCAGCTCTGGGCAGCCGTGATACTGGGTCCAGCTCCGGCTTGTCCTTCTCGGGCAATTCCTCCCTGGCACAGTGCTCCTCCTGGCTCCTGTCCTGGGGTGGCCCTGTCCTTCCCAGGCTTCAGGCAGGTTCTCTGCTGCTTCACTTTTCCAGGGCCTGCAGGCTGCCTCTCCCTCTCCTTGGAGCTCCAGCGCTGCCCCCTGGAGTTTCCCTCCTTTTTTCTTACTCTCCCCTTCCCCCTTAGGAAAAAGATTTAAAGGGCCATGCTCTCTAAACCCCAAAGGGGTTTCACTCTCTTTCCCCCCGCTCCCAAAAGAAATAATCCTTGATGTCCCCATCAAGGTAGGCAACTCTAAACCATGGATCCCCAGCAGGAGACCCAGGGCCCCCATTCGTCGGAAGCATTTCCATCATCCATCCCACAGGACCCCGAGGGGTGGAACAGGTTTCCCATGAGGCAGCTCACCCCCCGTGGCACGCCAGGGATCTGTAGGTCACTGGGTTTCCCTAAACAATCATACGTCAGCACACACCTGGTCTTCCCTTCCCTAGAGGAACGTCTAGGCTGGCTGTCGGGTATTGGCTGAGGTGATACCACTGAACATGGAGGCAAGATGATGGGTCCTTAAGGCACGAATTCGAGTGCATCTGGGTTTAAAGTGGCTGTTTGGGGTACAGGGTTTTTTGCCTGCACTGAACTTTCCTCATTATGTTCTTGGGGGGGTCTCCACAGCTTGGGACAGTGGGGCCTCGGAAGTGCTCAGTGTGGGTTCTTCCTCTTCACCATCTCTTTGTGTGACAACAAGAGGATCCATTAGGGTCGGGGCATTCCAAACTGGATGTTCGCCAGACCCCATTTCATCCTCACTCTCCGAGGAGCTGGGTGTTTGCAAAGGACAGGTACATTTCCGTCGTTGGGACCACGTCCGACTTGCAGGGCCGGGAGTCTCAGAATCTGTGGAAACATCCTCATGGGGAAACAATACTTGTCCTACAGGTAACAGATGATTCCGGTGGAGAGTTTTGGTGGGGCCGTGACTGCCCTCAGGACGTATGCGATACACTGGTAGATTCCCAAGTTTCTTCTCTATAATGTATAGGTGTGACTCCCAACGATCTGCAATTTTGTGTTTTCCCTGTAGTCTGAGATTTCGGGCCAAAACTCGGTCACCAGCCTGAATCTCCTGTTGCCTCACTCGCTGATCATATCGGGTTTTATTCTTTTGATTCTGGTGACCAGCTGCTTGCGTTACTATCCGATATGCCTCCTTCAGTTGATCTCTTAAGCGAGTCACATACCCCAAGTATGTTTTTAGGAGTGCGCCATCTAAAGACACTTTAAAACAGTGATCAGATGGCAACCGGGCCTCTCGACCGAACATTAACATGTATGGTGTGAACCCAGTTGCATTGTGTCGAGTGCAGTTATACGATGTACCAAATGCTCCACGTGCTGGCTCCAGTATTTTTTCTGCTGAGGCTCCAGAGTTCCCAGCATAGACTCATAGACTTTAAGGTCAGAAGGGACCATTATGATCATCTGGTCTGACCCCCTGCATGCTGCAGGCCATAAAACCGTCCCTACCCCTTCAGTAGTGTGCGGCTGAATTGTTCTGGTAGTGGATCCCCTTGTGGATGATAAGGGGTGGTGCGTGATTTTTTGATCCCCATGATCTTACAAAGTTCTTTTATTAACCGACTTTCAAAGTCCCATCCCTGATCTAAGTGTAGTCTGGCGGGCAACCCATAGTGGATGAAGAACTTTTCCCACAGGACCTTGGCAACCGTGGATGCTTTTTGATCTTTGGTGGGATAAGCCTGGGCATAACGAGTAAAATGGTCCGTGACCACCAAGATATTTGCAGTACCCCGGCGGTCAGGTTCTAATGACAGAAAGTCCATAAAGACAAGCTCCATGGGTGCAGAACTCGTGATGCTGACAGGAGGAGCCG